TCCTTTGTAGGACATTCTGCTGTTACGTATGTTTTTTTGCGACACTTGCACCGTTACGTCTTTGACATGGCGTTAGGTCATGAGCAAGTTTAACGTTACCATAAGGTGTAGATGAACTAATTAACTTGTTTGACGACTGGAATTTTCTAGCATCATTAGGACTACTGAATTTAAACAGCACAGGGCAAGTATACTTTCCTGATTTTTTCCTGAGTCTGATTAGGTGGCAATTCGCTGATGGCATGCCACACGCTTGGAAACATGTCACTTTGATTCTGCCCAGAGGCGTCCGATCAGGCAGATTGTAAGCGAGGACGTTGTACGAGGACATGATTCATTTAGTCACTTCATTGGCTATAAAGTCTTCATTCTGAACAGCGACCAGTGAGACGATGACTGTCAGATTGGTCACGCGCGAAAATTATGGGGAAGTTTGGTTTGAGCAAACAACTATGAACTGATCGTTCAATCTTCAACTTCACTGACAACCCCTGATAACAAATGGGGCAAAATGGCTTCAGGGACATTGTTGAGGCTACGTGGAATTCACAGTGATGTATGTAGCTTCTAAGTTGAGTGACCTAAACTCTTCTTACGTATGGAAAGTACTCGTTTATTACGTTGTGCCATTGCTGAACACTGATCAGTAAGGTTTAAAGTTAAAGCTGAGCTAAATGGAAAACAGGTACATGGACAAATAGCATATCGAGTGGATATACAGATCAAGTACTACTGTGGATATGGTATGGAATTTTATTGCTTATAAATAAACAATAAATTTAAAAAGTATTAAACCGTAAAATACAGAGTATATAGAAACGAATTATCCCGAAAATTGATCCTGATATGTAAACCGCAGAACAATGAACTTCTCTATAGTTTCATTTTCTGTGACTTTGTTCTAAAGTTACAATAAGGAGGATGAGTCCTGCGAAAGAGCAGATCCAAACGGGATAACTGGCGGTGATATATCTTCATATTTGGAAGCTATGGCAACAGCCAATATAAGTTTTAGTTGGGGAGTGGTATAATATCCACAACAATATTCCAGCAATCGGAAAAAATATACCCACGTTATGGAGGAGATTGTAACGTCCGATCAGAATCATGCGCCTTTATTTGTACAAGCCAAGTTACCAGTTACCCTCTCGTATACAGTTGGCTTATCCTCACTAAACTGACCAATATATTTCGTTCTTTCAAACGGACCGATACTAGCATAGTCATAGCACAAGACACTTCAGTTCGTGGACATCTCTGTCATTGTGGATGAGAACGTCAACGACGACTGTGTGATACAAGTTGATGAACTCAGCATCGCATCAGCTGTTATTGTCCGGCTTCTAGAAGGTTGTCTAACTGTAGGATCATCACCACTGCTATCTTTTATGATTAGTTCCAGTTCAGCCTTAACGTCTGTTGATAGGTGAGTTACACGCTGATCATTTTCACTGACGGTCTCACGAGTATCCATATCTTCTAACACCGCATCTGCCTTTAATTCTACCTCACCTTCAAGTTGTACAGAACCTCTGTTCAACTCGGCAGTAGAAGGCATTCCGCTCATCTCATCATGATCAGCCAAAGACAAAAGTGCACTGTCATGATCACTGTCACAAATATTCACTTTACCGTCGTCTATCCGGTCGACTTCATCATTTTTAAACCCTTTAATAACAGCAGTAGATGATTTGGGTTCTTCCTCACAAATCCTTATAGGTTTTATACCTATACTCTGACTTGTAATAGTTTGTTAACTCGTGGAGTCAGGACTGGACTCTGAAACTGTAACTCTCTTCTCCTGCACAAACTGTGCTGTCGTCTGTGACACTCTATTCAACAATGGCTTACCAATTGCAACTACAGGCTTCTTCACTGCACCATTATCGTCACACAATTCGTAGTCAGAACTTGATTTCACATTTTGCTTACCTCTAAACTTCCGAATCTTTGCAGCGGGATACTCATAGCCTTAGAATAACCTTCGTTTGGCTTGATAAACTTACAGCACTCTATAACGCTTGAAGGAACTTCAGTGCAGTACCTCAACAAATACATCAACTTTATTTCATCATTTATTACAAGCCTACTCAACGTGACTTCGGTCTCCCTTACAAACCATAGATAGTCAGCTGGGTTTCCGTCGAAACACCGAGGCTCATATGTAGTTAAATTTAAACCCTTACTATCCCGAAATGGCGAACCATGAACAACAGACTCATCATGCTGAGCATCATACATATCATTACATGTAACAGACAACTCAACATTACTTACTTTCCTGCTTGCTTCCAAAACGCTTTGTCCCTTCTTTGACCCAGGCATCATGGAACTTGACCGAAAATTCCGGAAACGTTCCAGATAACAGTTGTCCAAAAAGACTTGTAGGCACCAGGAAAGACAAACGGAAACTATCCAAACACCATCAGAAACTGTCAGCCAACTCTCATAAACCGTCAATGTCCAGCTCTTACTACGCTGGACCTCACGGTGTACCTGGAAGACTTTCAGAAACACTTTGTATTAACCAACGCAAAAACCAGAACACTGATTGGCGACTCAAGAATCCTTCATTCTTATGCCAATATGTAAGCAACAATAAGGTTATTATATACAAGGTTTCTGATAGTGTTATATCTTCCACTGAGCAGCAAACGATGAGGCGATGACTGCTGGATTGATGACTCCCTCGAACAATATGGAGGAGTTGAGTTTGAGCAAACAACCATGAATTGATCGTTCAATCTTCAACTACATTGGTAAGTACTAAGGAACCTGCAGCGTCTCACACCTGAGACGACATCAGGCCATCTGTTCTGAAACTGTGGGCTGAAGCTCTCTCTATGCCCTTATGTCACTTTTCCAACACTCGATAGATTCGGGGAAATTGCCAAAGGAGTGGAAAAGAGCCAATCTTTCTCCAATCTTCACGGGTGGCCATAGGCGAAATGCCACTATTTATAGGCGAGTAACTCTACTCCTAGTGGTATCAAAAGTACTGGAAAGTATTATTGACGATCACATCAGGGAATACCTCGATAAGTTCAATATACTCCTTGAAGCCCAATACGGTTTCAGGAAAGGCAGATTCTGCGTTACTAACCTACTATCAGCTTTGGACGATTAGACATCATGCTGGGATATGAATGTTCCAGTCCATGTGGTCTTCCTAGACTTTGAGAAAGCACTTGACACAGTTCACCATGACCTTATCCCACACAAAATAAGCCAGGAAGGTATATGTCAGCCACTTCTGTCATGGTTAAAGGACTGCCTGGCTGAAATGCAGTTTCACACTAAGGTCAGTCGAGTCCGATCATCTGGGCACAGCTCGTCATCAGGAGTGTCGCAGGGTTCTATCCTAGGATCACTGATGTTTTTCAACGATCTACCATGTCATCCAACTGCTGACGATGTGAAGATATGGAAGGCTCACTTAGGCTGCAGGCAGACCTAAAGCTTCTGCAAGACTGGGCGGTGGCCAGTGAAATGACTTTAAACCTGAAAAAGTGAAAAGTAGTGAAATTACGCACCTTTAGACTGCATAATGCAAGTTACATCCTGTGCAGTGAAAGCTTGTCCTTCACAACGCCGGAGCACGACTAAAGTCTAGTTCTAACGAAAGAAATGTACACGAGCGTAAATTACGCAGGGGACGTAGTGACAGCATATACATTCATACACTTTACACATAAATGAATAATTACACTCACCCATGAGCTCTTTCTAAGTTTGTAAAATCATACGCCAGACCACACGTTGAAGTGCACAGTACCATTGCTTCGCCGCTACCTGGAAGATTTGCTAGCCTTTTGGAAATGGTCTAAAGACGGAAGATAAAAAAGGTGATGGGCCTCTGAAAGAAACCATATGATGAAAGGCTAAAGGAATTGGTCCTATTCACACTTAGCTGCCATTGGCCTACAAGATAACAAATGGCCAGAATCACCCGAACGAAGGTGGAAATCCCAGAAGAATATCTCACTGGAGGGAAGGACTCAGGTGCGCTCCCACTTCTTTTCACTGAGGATTCGCCGTCCCTGAAATTCCTTACCGGCAGATGTAGCTACGGCTTCGACTTTGGACGCCTTTGAGGGAGGGCTCAACAATCATGCAGCGACAAAAGAGCTGCGTCCAAATGGTCCATCCCATTAAAATCCAGTACACTATTATGGGGTAGACAACTAAGTTCGTTGTTTTACTTCTTTACATTCTCTCCCGTCTTACTCTCCCGAAAGCTCTAACTACACTTATTACGATTATTAACGATATATGTATATATATATACATATATATGAACTCCGATTTAAATCGACCGTCTGTTTTTACGTTGTCTTCTTTCTCTGCATTTTAGCTTGAAAAACTTCACTAGTTATATCCATTAATGTTATCCCTCTACTTTTGACGAAAATACGGGAGGACCAACTGGGGAAAGGATCAACTCCATTCACAGTAGTAACAGTCTTAACACACTTTTTACTACAAGCCATTTATAACAATCCCAGCACTACTCCTTTTTGAGTCAACCAAAGCTACGACAGTCGAGTGACGACACCAGCTACGCAGAAGTTTATCAGAGATCAGGAGCCTAAACCTCACAATCAAGAAGCGAGCACAAAGAAATCAAATTGGTTTATACTAGCACGTAAAAACGATATTGGATATTGGACTTATTGACCTACAAGGACATGCACACTTTTGAATCTCAAGGAAACGACCGTTAATGTAATCCTTTTATCGTTTCCAGGAGCTGTAAACAAGTGATAGACATTCAATCTTGCTGGAGAGATTCATCACATAAAAATCTCACTGCGACAATTAAATGAAATACTTTTGATATATTGAGCGTTTATTTTCATGCAATTTCTTTCCTTGTTGAACACGGACAGATCTTTGCACGGGTTTATATTTGCTGGTGCTTGTTAGCGACACCTTGCAAGCAAGAGCTTTTATTATATTCTGAATCAAAATCTTCAACTCATCGAGTGAAAGAGCTGCTCATGAGGTCATACAATCCTTACAAATTTTTTTGGGTTGCCAAGAAAAATCTTTTACTTTTCTTCCGGTCTCCTTTCCAGGCTACATTCGTCTTCGTTGTCCCCGTACTTTTAATTTGCATTCTCGTGTTTGTTCGCAGCAAGGCACCTAGAGAGGCGGTTACAGAACCGGTAAAGTGGCCTGGCTTCGATATTGGTAATGTTCTTGCACCATCATACAAATATTTGGCGTTCGCTCCTAATGTTACTCTTTACCATCAAATAATGCTCAGTGTTTCAATTTCAACAAATCTGCAGCTCATTGGTTTTAAAAGTGAAGAAGAAGCTGTTGATTTCTTTACAAGTAGGGATACCAGAGTCAATAAAACTATAGGGGTTGTAGTCTTCGATAGCCCTCCTACACTAAGCGTTGTAAATTACACTATACGCCTTCATTCAGATAACCAATGGAATACAAAGTTTTTATTTCCATTATTTTTAACGGTTGGTCCCCGATCTAATGATATTTCAGCATCTCCTCCAAATTATAAAGATGCATTTTTGCCCTTGCAGTATGCAATAGATCGCGCTATAGTTAATCTGAACTGTAAAGTTAATGACACCTTCAACAGGCTAAAAGTCACTATGAAGAGAATGCCATTCCCTCCTTATATCAATGATGGATTCATAGTGATTATTCAAAAAGAATTGGCTGTTCTATTAATATTGGGTTTCATTTTTCCCACGCTACACAGCGTTCGACTTGTCTTGGTTGAAAAACAACGGAGAATGAAAGTAAGTTCCTGCGTCTCATCTATCAGTTTTTAGGAAATGTTAAAAGTTTTAGGACTGGGAGAATCAGCTTACTGGATTTCGTGGCTGCTCACGAACCTTTTTATCTTCGTGCTTATTGGCCTATCGCTTAGTCTTTTGCTCTGTTTGAAGTTATCAGAAAATGGACCTATTTTGAGGCTATCAAACCCATTTCTTATTTTCTTGTTATTGATGCTTTACGGCATCAGCGTTTCTGCTTTTGGATTTGCTCTTTCCACTTTTTTCAACTCCGGTAAGTCAGTTGCTTTCTTAGTTCATTTTTATGCGAATGTATTGTTCCGTTATTTATATTGAAGAGTATGTATTGAATTAAGGTCTGCCAATGTCCTTAAGGCTTTAATAGCATTCGCCCTTGTAATGTAGGTCAGCTTTAATTGTGCTTAGTTGTATTGTCGTAGGATCGATGCGATATACTTTACTTCTAAGCATAGCATTTGAAAATATTAGGTTACAGAATAATTGAAAACTTTTGTAATTTGTGTGGAAAGATGTGCTTGTTAATTGGTGTTCTTAACACAGAAGATTGATAGTTATTTGTAGCCCCATACTAGTACTGGATGCAACACATACTATACTCAAACATTCTACATGGTATTGAATGCCTATAATGATAGTTTCTAACCCAGTTTATTGAGTGCAGTTTTTTGAGTTGTTTTATTCTCTGAGCTATATGGTTAAATTTGGAGAAGCTCACTGTCAATCTAAAGTTAGTGCTGAGGATGTTGTCTATGAAGGTGGTGGCATTGTGGTGCAATCATCTTAGTAAGACATAAGAAGAGGACGTTAAAATAGCATCGACATTTGCCCGAATTATGAATCTTCTCAATAATGCCAGCCAAATCTTTGCTTTCAACTCCGTCGTAAGGAGGATTACGTGATTTAAACATAAAACTTGGGCACTATGGTAGATCATAACTCTATTATAGATAGAATTTTATTTTGATAAACCACACATTGTTGTACAGTAATATTAACTTATAACAACGTTGCGAGCACAAATTATTGCTACTCATAATCATGTCAAGTCACTCACTCAGAGACAAACTCTGTAGACTAAAGGATCCGATGGATCCAGTTAAACAAAATTATATAGTTTACAAAATACCTTGGAATAACTGTAAGGTCAACTATATATGTCAAACTAGTAGATCAGGAGCAGTGAAATTATCAAAACATGAAAAGTTAGCTAATGTTACGATGATCGATCCCACAAAGATAAGTAATTTAGAAAATAACTCAGCGCGACATTGCACTGCATGCTTTGCACAAAACCACACAATAGGGTGGTAGGTGGAACAGAGTGAAAATTCTAAAATTTCCAACAGGAATGACTCAACGCAAATACCAGAGATATGCAAGATATTACCACCAGTCAAATAGAAGAAGAATAAATAACGTTAAACTGAATTCAATTCACGTTATAAGATTCTAACAAGTTATCTATTTATTTTGCCATAAAAACATCTTATTTCCCTTCTCATCTTATTGTATTTTATTGGTAATACTAATATTTTTACTATTTCCGAATGTACCTTATCATCTTATATTACTGATTTTATTCAATCAAATGTTGTCTAATCATTATCAATTTTTACTCATGTATATATAAATGCAGCGAGAACGTCAGTAGTGTGAGCAGTGCCTTGATATGCTTATGAGTAGTAGCAATGATAAATTGTGCTCGAGGCGTGAGGTTTATCAGTAAATGTTATTGTATAACAAACGCACTTTGTGTGTGACTCTTTATCAAAACAAAAATATTATCATTAGTAGAGGTATACGGACTCAATTATTGTTAGAACATCAAAAATAACCTTGTAATCAGAAAAATGCTAATATTTGAAATTTCGGGGTACCTAACCTGTCATATGCTCTGATGGTGTTCTTGTGACTTTTGTTGCCAGATCTGCCAAGGGCGATGGGATAGTACGCGTCCTAATGGTTGTGTGCAAGGTTTGAAGAAGGCTGTCTGCTATATGTATGCGCCTCACCTGTGATAATGTTTGCCGGCTGCGTGGCTCAGTCGGTTAGAGCGTCGTGTTAATAACGTGAATGTCGAGGGTTTGCTCCCCTACGGGGCCAGCGATTTTCTTTGGTCTCAGTGGCTCAATGGTCTCACCTTGCAACCAGAAGGTCCTGGTTTCGAACCCCGGTGGGTGCGTACTGATGAAGAATCCCAAACTAGGACGAAACAGCTGTCCAGTACTCCCAGGTTTTGTGCGTCGGTGGCACAGCGGTTAGGACACTCGCCGATCATGCACATAGTCCGGGGTTCGATCCCCTGCCACAGACGCACTCCTTTACCTCGCTAAGCCATAAATAATGCTGGTTAAGAGGAAAAGTTGGGCATGAGGCTAGCAACCCCATCCTGTAAAAATGAACACTGCTACAGAAACTTTAAGCCACTAGCTTGAAACTATGTTTCACTGGGAACTTGAAGGAAAAAAATTTTAAAATTTTAATGCCTGTTATTTGCTAACAAAAGAAAGACAACTACCTGGTATACTAAATAATACCCCTTGGAAACTGAGAACTGAGTTCATAAATCCAGCTTTACATGTCTTCTTTACCTAATTAGTGAGTGAATAGGAAAAATGCGTTAACTAACAGTGTTTTCAATCTAGGTAACGGTCACATTGAATGATAGTTTATGTGATAAATATTTACTACTCTTCCTTTGAACTCATTTCTATGCTGCCTTTTCCGATGAGTGTCGGTTACCTCTTATAGTTTCATAAATTGTTTTAGAGATGCAATTATCCACAGTATATAGTCTATTTTTATGCTCGATTGTTATTTCTTAAGGAAAAACACATTTGTTCGGCGTGGAGAAATACAATTTCTTTTCCCAGACTTCATTTTTAGCCATCTGTACAGAAACAATTGGTGATATGGCTCAAAACCGTTCTCAGTGGCGCAGATGCATCCACTCTCTGTGACTTATGATCTTCAATGAAACTGTTTTGTATTTCATTATTACTCCATTGTCTCACACCTCTGCTCACTGTTTCTATTATGCTTTTCTTGTACTTTCTTCTCTTGCTTCGCGTGCTACACGGAATGTGGCGACTTGAACTTCCGCACATTTGTCGAAAACAGACAGACATCTGTACAGAAGTTGTACTTATATTGCCGAAAAAGGCATTAAGTGGCACTAAAAAGTGCTCAGTGGTCAATATTGCACATATGATGATAAGAATAAAGATAATTATAATAATGTACTAACGGGGAGGGGGTGGGCGCGGTAGAGTTGATCGACGGGGATGAATCACAAAACTTTTAAACAAGTAAACTGGTGTTGAGATTGTAAAAAATATTAGTTCAAGTGTTGTCTAAAAGAATTAAGAATAAGATGATGTTAACAGTAAAGCCAGCGAAGGTGAAGTGGAGTGGAATGAACTCAAGTGGTGAAATAGAATAAAATACAAGAAAATTACTATGACCAAATTTTTGCATGTATAGCTAGAGCTTTGGTTGTGCATAAATGGAGGAAACGTAAGCATTTGTAGTGATTGGATTTGGTCCTGTGGATAACTATAAAGGATTAATCATGTGGGGCTAAATTACCTGACTCTGGAAGGTGTTCACACATGAAAGACTTCGTCATCCTTTGCTCACTTCTCACTAACAAAAACTGGGTAGTGTTCAGCTATGCGTTTATAGACATTACACTTACAACGTCCAATGTAATCAGCTCCACACGAGTGTGTGAATGAGTATATGCACATAAAGGTAGATGCAAATAAGCCGTAGTTTATCCTTGACGCATTCTCGAATCACGTTTCGTCTGGTAAATACTAAGTGTAAGGCATCTGTATAAAAAGTACGTTTAATACATTTAGATAAATGACTTTTAATTAGTTCAGAAATACTGTCACCTACGAAAGCCAAACTCGTAAATTCTGTCGTCTTGGACACTGCGATTTGGTTAAGGACGGTTTCTTTCTTCATGTTTCTCTCCATAAACCATATAGGGGATATGCTTTATTTAAGAGTTGTACGGAATGTGGCGACTTGAACTTCCGCACATTTGTGCAAAGTTCTATGTCGAAAACAGACAGACAGACGAAGGCTTTCTAATTCTAAGTCAACCGTATCTACAGAGTAAAATTTCGCGAATTCTTGAGTATAGAGAACGGATAAGATTTCTCATTCTGCCTACAGGGTGGTACCGAACTGTTGCAGTTAGTATAGTATGCTGCCCTTTAAATGTTGGCTTTCGTCAGATTGACCTATTTAATGTGTCATAACCTCATCTATCAGGCACCAGCATCTAAGAAGTGAAATACAGGGTTCGACTCTTTTTCGATGATGAAAAGCATTGAATTTTTCGAGAAGCTCGCCAGTTGAACATTTATCGTTACGAATAATGAAGGTGTCGTCAACATATCGTTTATGCATATGCAGAGTTCAGATTGTTTCGTTCAATGCATCACTCTGTGAACACTCCAAGCAGACATCCGCCGCTAGAGGCAGGTCCTAATGGAGACCACATGGCAACTCCATCCCCTTGATTATAAATGACATCGCTAAATGTAGACTACATTAAGTGTGCATCTCAATAGAAGCTGCTTCAGATAGGCAGTTAGTTAGTTAGTTGGCTGTCCAATGTTTATACTGTTTAGGTCAAGGTAATTACACAGATCACATTAATCCCAACAGGCGAAGTCAAAAGTGTCTGAAATCTATGTTAGCATAGATTTTATCTTACTGGTTGAAGAATTTTAGTAAGTCATTTAGCTGTAGAATGATAAGGCGAGTTCGGCATATTTGATGTAGGCCATCCAGGGACACCAGGTAGCTTTATTCACCTTACGAAGATCATATAAATGATTGATGGTTGAACCAGAGGACTTGAGGTGTTCATACATGTACGGAGTAATAATAGATTCGTCCTACAATTCCTTCAAAGTTTTTGATAGTTCATTCTCAATACTCTCCGTTCTGTGTTTCTGATCGGTTGATTTTAAAGCCCAGATAGGTTACGTGGGAACCATTATTATTGTGCCTGTGTAGCGTAATTTTCCTAAACCTTTAACGTCGTCATAAATATAAATGAATTTGTGAAAATCACAGGTTTAATTGAAATGAAAAGTCTTGCCTCATGCCTTTAAGGTTATTGAGGCTTTTAATACAAATTTCTTAAATATGTTGATCCTCTCAAACAACTTTGGAGTGTATAATAGAAACTATGGAGTGTTCGCTATTGAACAGGATGGAATCTTTCGTATTCCATACCAGACAGTTTTTTTTGGGTTTTGCTTGTTACTTTTCATTTGTCTAATTTATTTTCTTTGCACTAGAAGAATGTGTTGTGAATTATCTCTTCATTATAAGGAAGATTTTCTTGTATTTCCCAATGAATAAAAAACAAAACAATAATGTGTTTACTGACGTTTCGCTATTTAATGCTGCTAAGAGCTTTATCAAAGTAGTGATATTTGACCAGAATTTACAAAATCTCAGCTTATATATAACAATTTAATCATCGTTCCTCAGTATGGGGTCATTTTTGCGTTGTCGAATCGGCCAATTGGTAAAGATAACAAAACCAGATGTAGATTTTTGGATTTGATAAGTGTGTAAAATTACAAAAAAAGCAGCATGTGTTTACATAATGAAATTGCTTATCACATTCGTGTTCATTTTGTCATTTCATGGGGTTTCGGGCGGCGGGGGTGCTGTAACTAGGTCAAATTCTGTTTCAGTCCATCACTTCTATTCAGACAATTTGGATTCCACTTGATATGATTTATGATGTGAATTATCTCTTTTTAATCTTAACTGGTTGCTTGTTATTACCGTAATAGCAGAAGGCAAGACACCGAAGCAAAGGTATTGAACTATGGGAACAGTAGTATTCAGACGTTAACACCAACACAAATAGAATGATTCTTACTGTGAGAACAATATTCCGTTGGAACGCACACACACACACAGTGTTGTCTGTATCACACCACCACTACCACCACCACATGACTACTGTCCCGTTAACTTGTAGAATTATCTTTGTTCTTTAATGTACTTATAAAATGATGTTATGCTTTTCAGTCTCCTTCATGTACCGTATTTAAACAGGATAATTACACTTAGACAATTCGAGGTGTAACTTCTTCTTTATCTTCTTCTTTTACTCTTTTTTTTCATATGTGTGTATAGCTCATACAGGTGTTGCATTGGTTTGCACAGTATTGATTATTATTTCACTACCCTATCCAATATTAGAGGAACATTATAATGAATTGAACTTATTCACTAAATTAGTGGCTTGTCTACTGCCTAGTCTGGCTATGGGATTTACGGGTCTTTTAATTGGACGATTTGAAAGTGCAGGTAAGGTAATCGTTTTTATTTATTATTTTTTTTTTAAAAGGAAAAATAATTTTTATTGTTTTATTGCCTTAATAATTTCAGAGGCAAGATTGTTTGAAATAGAATTTCTATGTTAACGTGGTACGTCGATAGCACAGCGGCAGGAATGCTCGCCGACAACCACTCCCTATGTGGTTCGGGGTTCGAACCCTCCGGGGGTGGGGGGGTCACTACTGACGCACGCTTATACCTGGTTAAACTACTAGTAGTGTAAAATCCGGTAAGTGAAGGTTGGGAGAGGGGAGGAGGAGGCATGAGGTTAGCAGAAACCCCATCCTGAAACTTCAAGTCTCACTAGCCTGGCTCTAGCAGGCTCCCTATGTTCATTCCACATTGGGAAGGTAAAGAAATGAAATAATAATAATTATCTGTTAAGGTGCTGATATTACTTTTACGCTAGCAAGTTCCGTGGTTTATTTTAGTGTTTATAACCGACTGTGCGAATCAGTTTTGATCATCTAAACTAAAACACTATGGTAGACAGTTTAAGTAGATTTAATGGATAGTAATTTAATGACAATAAGTCATTTAAGAAAACCATTTATTAAGGTAATAATAATTATATTATTATTGTTCTCTTGGGTTCCTAGTGGAACATAGGGCTTCAACTGCACGTCTCCATTTGCTTCTGTCTTCTCTCTGCTGTACTTTTCACCTGCACCCATGTTAGTCCATACTCTTTCAACTCCTCTTCACACAATCTCCTCCTCCATATCACCCTTGCACTGACGTCCCACTCGCCGCCTACTTCCCTTTCGGGTTTCACTGGACCGATGGCCTGATGCGCTTGCGATGTCACCCAGCGGCGGCCTCCTCCTCAGTGAGTGTCCAATCCATCTCAATCCACTTTCTCCTGCATCCAACGAAGACAGTTATTGATTGATAAAGGTAACGTCTGCAACAGGCTGTTGGAAATATTCTTTGTGACCCACCCACCCGCCAACTTTCTGATCCGTTCCGTATAGAAGAGCTGACTGACTTGACGCTGTTTGTATTGAAAATCCAACCGACGGAATTTCGTTGTTGATACTGGCTGAGTGACGAAGATTTCCAGATTGGTTTCAGGTTGATGAATGAATGTGTTTCTCGCCCGCTTTCCCGATTCCCGCTCGATTCGACATCCTCGTCCGTTCCGACTTCCTTCCTGTAGTTGAGACAATGCTCCCTCCCTAGATGATAAATGAATGAAGTAACTTCTTTCAAATCCCTCTCATTGATGGTGATTGGCGCTGGATGTTTCTTCTGCTGTTGTTGTTGTTAGTTAGTTGGTTGGTTGGTTATTTTCATCACTTCCGTCTTCTTCACCTATGTTCACCTGGAGTCCTGTCCTGTCTTCGCTGGCTGATCCTTCGACCAGTTGATCGGTTTTCGCTTGCTTCTAAGTCTTCGATTTTGTGACATAAAACATAAATCTTCTACAATAGTCAGTTAGCTTTTTGAATATGCATGCTCAATGAGAACACGAGACAAAATGAGATGATATAATTTAATATTATATATAGTCAACAAAAATATAGGTTTCAGAAGTGAGTGTGATCAGTGGTGTGTACGAGACTACAGAAAATTAACCAACGAATGGGGTGGACTAGACATAAGTTCAAGGTTGAAAATAACGACAATAATAATGATGATTGTAAACAAATCACGATGATGTAGTGTCGACTTAAAAGCACTGTTGGTGAATGATAGTCAAATAATAATAATAATAATGAATTTACAGGTATCGGTTTGGTAAGGATTTTTTTTGATTTCATGGAGAATTTCATCATGAGCTGACATCAGTTAGGGAACCACTGGAAAACCTGGGAGTACTGGACAGTTGTTTCGTCCGTCCTAGTTTGGGACTCTTCAGCATTACGCACCCACCGCCAGGGTTCAAACGCAGGACCTTCTGGTTGCAAGGCGAGCTCGTAGACCATTGACCAGTGGGGTACAGCAGGTTGAAGATGAGGCAGTAAGTCATCGAAGAAGACATTGCGAAATGGTCGCGCTATGTCGTGAATTGTCATAAGCTAGAATTCAAGAACTATTGGATCAGGTCCCAGTGGCTCAGTGGTCTACGAGCTCGCTGGCCTTGTAACCAGAAGGTCCTGGGTTCGACCCCCAGTGGTTGCGTACTGCTGAAGAGTCCCGAACTAGGACGAAACAGGTGTCCAGTACTCCCAGCTAGTTTTTCAATGGTTCTCTAAGTAATGCCAGCTCATGATGACATCCTCCATGCAATCAAATAATGAATTTAGTGAAGTGAAATGATTAACAGGATTTTGTAGATATGATAACAAGTTAAAAAGCACACTACTTAAACATAAGGTGTTGTAGAAATCATAAGAAATGTCGTGAAATTATAAAAAGTCAGAAATGAACGTTTGTCAATGAAACAAAGGAAAAGAAAGAAAAATTGCGATAGAAGTTTAAAATGCTAATGTTTATGGAGGATTTGTTGGCCTTACTGTAGTCCACGAGAAGCTTAGAGGTTAAGCATACTTCTTCTGTATACAAAGATCCGGTCTCAGCGACTGGTAGAAGATATAGTCGAGCTCCTCTGGGTAGATTACCAGAAACGCAGTGAATAACTGAGAACGCTGCCCGCTCAGGTTTTATCGAGTGTCCAGTATCTACTAACAGGGGACTAAGACTGCCCTATTTACGCATTTGGTTACCCCTGTACTTAACCATACAGACACATATTTTCACGCGTGCTTGCATGGATAAAACCCTCTGAGTATGGCGAATCTAACTAGTCCCACATGAGCGGTTGAATTCATAGATATGCATTAATGAGGCCATCTTTGGTAATTTATCCTTAACTCGTTGTGTGTTTACTGGCTTAGTTTGACAAACTAAGTAAGTATCAGTTTAGCTGCTGGAAATGTTCTCCTTACTGCGCTGTTTAGTTGACATTGTAGAATGTCAACTGCAATTTCCCCTTTGTAACTTAACTTAAGATGCAAAGGTTTCTTATCTGCGAAATATTAAATATTAACGGATTTGACAAGTAAATATTAAACCAGAATTTACAAAATCTCAGCTTATATGTATATAACAACTTAATCATCGTTCATCAGCAGGGATAATTTTTGCCTTGTCAAGTTGGTCAATTGGTAAAGATGGAAAAACAAGGGGTAGATTGTTGGATTTGATAAGTGTATGAAATTATACAAAAGCAGCACGTGCTTACATGATGAAATTGATTATCACAATTGTGTCGTTGAATTTATCATTTCATGGGGGCTGGGTGGGGTAGGTGTGTTTTAACCAGATCAGATTCTGTTTCAGTTCATCATTCCTATTCAGTTTAGATTATTTGGATTGCATTTGATATGAAGTGCTTCTGATGATATCAGATGTTCTTTGTGATTTCTGAAACTATTTCCTGATGATGATTTCAATATATTGTCGAAATCAATTTGGTGGCCTGACTGATCCTGTAACGAGGTGTGTAGACGATCTATGGCTGATGATTTTCCAAGCTTTTCTAGTTCATAAACTGGATTTACTTCTCAGTAGTCGAACAGACGCTCCACCGTGTTCATTCATTCTAATTACTTTGATTTCCCTCTAGCGATGTTTGTCCGATGTATATCGCATCACACTGGAATCACTTTATTTTCTAGACACAATTAGATGGAGAATTCTTAGGGATTTGGTCTTTTATATGGAGAAGGTTGCTTTGCAGTGTCCGTGCGTGTCTGATGTTTTTGACGAAAACTCTGATGTCTTGCTGATGTTGAGTACTCTTCTGGTATCTATCGTCTGACGTCCAAGCCTTGGGAATACATTTTCGACCATATTTAATGTCAGTGTTGCTTTTGTTAATGAAGTTCTTTGGTTGGCTGTTTTTTTGTTTGAGGTTCTCATTAATGTTTAATATTTCTTCTTCTTCTTCTTTTCCCTTCTCATCCGTCGTCAACGTGAAAATTATCTCATGCCGATGAACGATGATTAAATTGTTATATACCACATATAAGCTGAATGGATTTTGTAAATTCTTCTGGTTTAATATCACTCCTTTGATGATAAAGCTATTAGCAGCAGCATTAAAAAAGTGAAACGTCGTCAGTCAGTAAAAATAACAACACCAATATCCTTTTTTGTTTTTCGTTCATTCAATCATTGGGAAATACAAAAAAAATAACCCTATTATGATGAATATCATATACCACCACCATCACCACCACTAAATGCTTAAATATTTTTTTAAACTGTTAAAAGTGAACTTGGTTTATTTTAGATAAAATACTTATAACCTTGTTTGTGGAAGCAGAAGCTACTTTTCTGACTGATATATGAAGCAATTTATAATTTACTTTTTTTTATTTGTACCTTTCTAGGTTTAGGTTTACAGTTTTCATCGTTTTTCACTCCAGCATCTCCGGAGGACAATTTTTCTGTTTCATTGGTTTGCCTTATGTACATTTTTGATACGATTTTCTATCTACTAATTACCTATTATAAAAGTGTTGTCTGGCCTGGAAAATACGGTATCCCTAAACCATGGTACTTTATATTCCCTGTAAGTTCATTTTTAATTTCAACATCATCTAATAATAATAATAATTCACTACGCCTCTCATTTGGTCCCCAGCCGGCTACCATCGACGCACTCCTTTACCTCGCTCGCTAAGCGAGTGATAATCAGACTGATAAAGAGAGAAAGTTGGTGGTGGGGGTGCATGAGGCTAGCAGGAACCCTATTCCTTAAAAAAATACCAACACCACATCTACTGAAAGTTCAAGCGTCTAGCTTGAACACAGACAGCCGCCATTAGTTCGTTTCACATTGGGAATACAAACGAATCAAACAAAGTATTACTATCCCAAAATATAATCATCACGTTTAAAGTGGTTTAAGGCAATTGGACGGAAGTCTAAGACCCTACTTCTTGTGCTTATTGGCCACCTACCAGTCACCGAAACATATCTGCAATCCTTAAGGAGTTCATGTCGCGCCTGAGATTCGAAGCCGTGTCACCCAGTGTTTCTGTCAGGAACTTCCCCACTGAGCTATTCGGGCTCTTGATTGACCTCCTGTAGGACTACTGTATAAGATACTTTGATCGGACACTAACTAGTATCATGTGTTCAGTCTTCTGTTTTTGGTGAAGTCTTACAGAAGGAACATCTACCAGTGTGCCTGAATAAAGGTGTAGTAAAAACCCATCAACGATTTGATATTAGACCACCTGGTCAAAACCGGCCACAAAGCCGGCATTAAACAATCCTTCTCCATCATCATCTACAGGGTACCAAATAAATGCATGTAGGAGAAAATGCAGATGGATTGATCGGGAATACATTGAGGAAGGTAGGCTGTCGAATGACATCGTGCTCAATGCAAGCTATTGCTCGGAAAGCGACGGATGAATGGGTGATCAGTGCTAGGGTGACATGAAGGAGATAAGAGATTAAGAGGAATCGTGGGGTCAGCCAGCTGAAGAGAGGGCAGAAAATATAAGAAAGTGGAGCTATGGTGTTGTTAAAGCCAGCCCTATGCTCCACTTGGAACTCAAGAAAATAATAATAACGTAACTGTAGAACCTGGTGATGTCTGTCTGTGTTTTCGACCTAGAACTTTACACTGATATGCGACAGTTCAAGTCGCCACACTCCCTCCATGTTGCACACAAAGCAAGAGAAGAAAGTAGAAGAAATGCATAATAGAGACAGTTAACCGAGGTGTGAGACAAAGAAATAGAAGTAACGAAGAACAATATGGTTTCATTGGAAATTATAAGTCACAAGAAGTGGATGCATCCGCGCTGGCCAGCCATTGAGAACGATGAGTTTGAGCCATATCACCAATTGTTTCCAGCCTTCATTGGTTTTTACCGTCCCGAGGATCCCAACCAGTCAGGAAGTCTGCACCTTCCTACGTGACAGACTTAGATTAACTGTTGTAGATTTTATTGACTGGTTAAGCCATGTTTTTGTTTGAACTCCGCTAGCTCTTTTCCAGCCTGACCAATTCTATGTGAGCTAACATTGCCCATTGTCGAGGAAGGCGATGACTAGGCATTCATGCGTAACACATGTCCTAACCATCTCAGTCGATGTAATTACACAGCCTCGTCTATAGACTTGCCCTCCTTACCTAGAACTCGACAGACGCCTAACCTCAATATTGTTCACCTTATTATACCAATTCACACGGGAGATAGAGCAAACGCAGGCACCTATGATCAAAGACAACTAATCTTTTCATGTCTTCCACCCTCAATGGCCATGTCTCGCTTAAAGCCATAAAGGAAGATGGAGAGGGCTGTTGAGCAGTACACTCGACCATTGGTCGATAACCGGATATCACGTCTACGCCAGAGACGGCGTAAACTGGCATATATGCGAAAGTAGTCCTCTGTATCCGTACTCAGCTGAGATTTCGTCAGAGATCAACCCGTTGGCACTGGCTGATGGTACTTCCCAAATAAGTGAAGCGGTCAACGTGCTGTACCACCACTTCACCACCTAGTGATGAAGTTGTCAAAAATGTGAATATTCTTTGTTCAGTGTAACCATTTTTTTGTGAATATGTTCTGTTTGATATTCACTTATCTTTCTTCTTCAGTGTCAAAATCTACGTAAACACCAAGATTTAACCGTTAAAGTATCTGTGGATAATATTAATAATGATAACAATAATCAGCAAACAGACAACTTGATGAAAAATGCACTACAGACAACAGAATTACCCTCTGCCTCACATGTTGCTAATATTAGCGATAATTATAAAATAATGGAGGAAAATGTCATTCAACAAGGCGGAAGTGATAGTACTGGTGGTGATCGCCTTCTTCTATCTACCACCTGCGAACCAAGTCAGTCTGGATCTGTATTAACTGGAGGGGATGATATCGCTGTGAGACAGTGTCCTTCATCAAGCCAGAACTCAGATGATGATTATTTTGAAAGAGAACCGATTGGTCTACAAGTTGGCATTGCAATTCAGCAATTGCGTAAGGTAATCATATACTACTAATGATTGTAGTAGTGTCTGAGTAGTTTTTTTTTTTAATTGATGGACATACAAATACAACGATTTGCCTGTAGAGTTTTACATCTGATCCATTAATATTATTATTATATCTGCAAGAGACTGCATCAGTCTAATAAATTTCAGATATCATTTCATTCTACCGCTGTGCCACTGACTAATAGCAGTGGAATGCTCGCCGCCAATCATGCTCCATGTGGTTCAGTGGGGGGGGGGGAGTCGATCCCCGGGTGGCCACCATCGACGCACTCCTTTACCTCGCTCGCTAAGCAAGTGACAATACGACTGATAAAGAGAGAAGGTTGGTGGTGGGGGTGCATGAGGCTAGCAGGAACCCTATTCCTTAAAAATATACCAACACCACATCTACTGAAAGTTCAAGCGTCTAGCTTGAACACAGACAGCCGCCATATATTCGTTTCGCACTGGGAACCTAAAGGAATAAAAGAATAGAGTTAAGTTATGCTATTTTTTAAGTTCACATGCACACACACACACACAATGACACTGTATTCTGCTTCCCGCAATGCATAGCAGCGATAATCATACGACGATAACCAGCCCAACTCACTACCAACCACCCACTCCCCGCTGCCATTCTCTTTGTCAAACTGATTCTGAGTGTTAGATAGCACATTAAAATATGTGTGAAACTCGGGCGTTGTGGTAGTCTGTTTATTAGATATCTGTCTCTGTCTGTCTGTTTTCGACATAGAACTTTGCACAAATGTGCGGAAGTTCAAGTCGCCACACTCCGTGTAGCACGCGAAGCAAGAGAAGAAAGTACAAGAAAAGCATAATAGAAACAGTGAGCAGAGGTGTGAGACAAAGGAGAATAAAGAATAACAAAACAGTTTCATTGGAGATCATAAGTCACATGGAGTGGATGCATCTGCGCCACTGAGAACGGTTTTGAGCCATGTCACCAATTGTTTCCAACCATAGATTTTTACCGTCCCGAGGACCCCACCAGGAAGCCAGTCTACACCTTCCTACGTGGCTTAGACCAACTGTTGTGGATTTCATTGACTGATGCCAAGTTTTTGTTTGACCGCCGCTAACTTTTTTCCAGCCTGACCCTATATCCGCTAACATAGCTCGTCGAGGGAGACGATGACTTGGCATACGTAACACATGTCCTAACCATCTCAGTCGATGTAGCTTCACGACTTCGTCGATTGATTTCCCCTGTTTACCTAGAACTCTACGCCTAACCTCCATGTTGCTCACCTTATTATGCCACTTTACACGGGAAACAGAACGCAGGCACCTATGATCAAAGGCAGCTAGTCTTTTCATGTCTTTATTAGATATATCACACATACAGTCAGTGAAACAGTATTATTAATTACTGGATGTATCCTATCATCAATTATAATCACACGACTTCAAAATTTCTTTATTCTTTCCTATTTGTCGTCGTGGAGACAGAAGCATTTCCCAGATGCTGACATGGACAGAGGTGTTGAATCGTTCTTGTTACACGTGTTTGTAGTTGATTCGATAAACAAAGCTTCCGTTATCAACCTCTCCCTCCTTCCACCCGCCCTATTACATTTGATTTTAAAACTCTCACCTTATCCCATCCCATTCTACATTGTATGGTTGTGTGTAATTGCATGTAGTGAGTGGTATAGCTGAATTACTCTCCGAATTTCTTACCTTATTCGGGACAACTAATCTAAAGTTTTGCTAGGTTTTATACCCCGCTATTCTGACTGCCCCTGTCCTACTACTTTGACCTATGTATTCCACTTGACAATCATCAAAGCAGGGTATTCAATAAACTAAATTGTTTCGTTTTATTGGCTTCACACGATACTTTAACTGACGAAGCTTGTTTCTAATTGAGTCAGGTTAGGTCAGGCAAATTATGTGCTGATCAAATTGCAACTGTAAGCATCACCATCATCATCATCATCCAACAGAACAAATCACAGAATTGCAATCAAACATCTCTGTCCATCTCAACTCCCTTCATCGACTTGGAAAAGGCCTTCGATGGACAGCGTTGACCACAAAGTAATTGGGAAACTACTACTTCAACACTACGACATGCAGTGCGGTGCAGTCGCCCATTCCCTATCAACCTCATTCAACAGCTGGCTGGCTGGCTGACTGACTGACTATATGATAATGCCATGAGTAGTCAGGTGATCCACAAGGGAAATCTCAGCAAGGCGTTTCAAGGGCATACAGGAGTGTAAGACAAAGCTGGCCGGCCAGCTGGATACCTATTATCACCAACGAGAATATTCTTAACTGTGGTGGACTGGATTAAGCGTCAGACTGACTGTGAGTCGAAAATGAGTGAGAAGACTGGAATGGGCTGGAATACGACCGATATGAAAACTCTACAAGATTCGGATTTCACGTGTGGATGATTTATGTCATTGAATGTCACACAAACACAAACAGAAACTCGAAGACTTGAAGGCGGAAACCAACAAACTGGATGAAGAAGCTGGCTGGCGGCGAAGACAACACTCTGTCCAGGTGAACATAAAGAAGGTGGAGATGGAGCTGGAGCTGATGAAGATAACCAACCAACAACAACAACCAGCACCAATCACCACCAACGGGATAGAGAGATTTAACAGAAGCTATCTCCTTCACTTATCTAGGGAGCCAGCATCGTTTCAACTACGGGCGGATGGCACGGATCAAGATGTCAAAGACATTCAGCCAGCCAGCCAAAATCGAAAAGATGAACAAGATACTCACGCCTTCATCAACCTGAAAACAGTTTGGAAATCTTCTGCACCTCACTCCGCCTCAGCTACCATAAACACCAAGATTCAGATTCTGTTCAACACCCATGTCAAGTCAGTCAGTCGGTCAGTCAGTGCTTCTTCTATACGAGTGACCAACTTGTCCAGTGCGTGTGTGTCATCAAAAAGGATTTGCAACAGCCTTCTGAAGACTTTGATCAACAGCTGTCACCTCCACTGGCTGGCTGGCTGGCCGGCCGGCTCCATAGTGAAGACCACATGTCCAGCCGACTGGCGACCAGAAGGAACAAGTACCAAGAAACTCTAGAGATGAACAAACCAACCGACGAGAGCCGATTTGTCAACAAATATGTAGGAGAAAATGAAGATGGATTGATCGGGAATACATTGACTAAGGTAGGCTGTCGAATGACATGGCGCTGAATGCAAGCTATTGCTTGAGAGGAATCCAAATGGGAAGCGACGGACAAGTGTGTGTGTGTGGGGGGGGGCGGTGCTAGAGTGAGACATGGATGTTATGAGATACTATGGCCAATGGTTTGGTCAGCCAGCAGAAGAGGAGGGCAGAAAATAGAAGAAAGTGGAGATTTGGTGTTGTTAAAGGCAACCCTATGCTCCACTTAGAACCCTAGGGAATAATAATAATAATAATCAGTATTATATTGTTTATCAGGTTTGTATATCAGTCCTATCGGTATTTGTTAATGTAGCTTCTATCATTATTGCTGGGTGGCTGAAGTTGTCAGTTTTGTGTTGAACATACGGTGGAAAGTACTAGCCAAGGATGAATTTTGTGATTATCCTTTTAAATGTGTATTAACTTCAAGAGTAAGAAGGTTTATCCACTTCCGTGGAAAATAAGCTACCCGTCAACTTATGTTTTAATAATAATAATAATAATAATAATAGCTTTATACCAACCAGAGTACTTTTAGTACAAATATGGAATTTTCAGCGTATGTGTAGTAGTCCAGTTAGTAAGTATTGCATCTAACTCCCCCTTTACACGGGTTATAATTAAAACAGGGCAATTACGTCAATAATATTTTTTCATTGAAAAAAAAAGAATATAAAATTAAACTAAGTAAAATGATTAACAACGATGTAACACCATGCTAACAAGAAAATAGGGTCGTTTTTTCTTAGGGTGGTGTAACACCATATAAACTATGTTCTGGATGGCTAACAAAAACTGAGTCGTCCGAGCATACAGTCGTCTATAGTTGCACTTCTAGTTCTCCTATCTGATGAGATAGGTACAACCAGAGAGTTGTGTATATATAGGAAGGATGTTCAGAGTCTGACAAGAGATAATATTTGCTAATTTCCTAAAGGAGTTCAAATTTCTATCTACAATAGTATTAACGAGTTATTTTAGCAACACCTCACTCACTCTCCCTACTCACGGCTTATATTGCCCTACACAGTATAACAAACAAATTCTTTCTTAAGTAGCAACCTAAGAGAGATTAAGGTGGAGGAGGAATAGAGAAGGACAGGCAGAATACACGAAGAATTAACAAACTGTAACAGTAGAGATGGGATGATACTAAATCGTTTTAACTTCTTTACAATAGAATGTCAAACGAAATATGTTTCTGGAAACTAACATGATGTGAGAAAACCAGGAAAAGGTGATCATAAAGGAAATACACACTCTAAGGTATTTAACATTCGATTTAGTTCCAACTTCGCTGCCGGCCGGCTCCATAGTGAAGACCACATGTCCAGCCGACTGGCGACCAGAAGGAACAAGTACCAAGAAACTCTAGAGATGAACAAACCAACCGACGAGAGCCGATTTGTCAACAAATATGTAGGAGAAAATGAAGATGGATTGATCGGGAATACATTGACTAAGGTAGGCTGTCGAATGACATGGCGCTGAATGCAAGCTATTGCTTGAGAGGAATCCAAATGGGAAGCGACGGACAAGTGTGTGTGTGTGTGGGGGGGCGGTGCTAGAGTGAGACATGGATGTTATGAGATACTATGGCCAATGGTTTGGTCAGCCAGCAGAAGAGGAGGGCAGAAAATAGAAGAAAGTGGAGATTTGGTGTTGTTAAAGGCAACCCTATGCTCCACTTAGAACCCTAGGGAATAATAATAATAATAATCAGTATTATATTGTTTATCAGGTTTGTATATCAGTCCTATCGGTATTTGTTAATGTAGCTTCTATCATTATTGCTGGGTGGCTGAAGTTGTCAGTTTTGTGTTGAACATACGGTGGAAAGTACTAGCCAAGGATGAATTTTGTGATTATCCTTTTAAATGTGTATTAACTTCAAGAGTAAGAAGGTTTATCCACTTCCGTGGAAAATAAGCTACCCGTCAACTTATGTTTTAATAATAATAATAATAATAATAATAGCTTTATACCAACCAGAGTACTTTTAGTACAAATATGGAATTTTCAGCGTATGTGTAGTAGTCCAGTTAGTAAGTATTGCATCTAACTCCCCCTTTACACGGGTTATAATTAAAACAGGGCAATTACGTCAATAATATTTTTTCATTGAAAAAAAAAGAATATAAAATTAAACTAAGTAAAATGATTAACAACGATGTAACACCATGCTAACAAGAAAATAGGGTCGTTTTTTCTTAGGGTGGTGTAACACCATATAAACTATGTTCTGGATGGCTAACAAAAACTGAGTCGTCCGAGCATACAGTCGTCTATAGTTGCACTTCTAGTTCTCCTATCTGATGAGATAGGTACAACCAGAGAGTTGTGTATATATAGGAAGGATGTTCAGAGTCTGACAAGAGATAATATTTGCTAATTTCCTAAAGGAGTTCAAATTTCTATCTACAATAGTATTAACGAGTTATTTTAGCAACACCTCACTCACTCTCCCTACTCACGGCTTATATTGCCCTACACAGTATAACAAACAAATTCTTTCTTAAGTAGCAACCTAAGAGAGATTAAGGTGGAGGAGGAATAGAGAAGGACAGGCAGAATACACGAAGAATTAACAAACTGTAACAGTAGAGATGGGATGATACTAAATCGTTTTAACTTCTTTACAATAGAATGTCAAACGAAATATGTTTCTGGAAACTAACATGATGTGAGAAAACCAGGAAAAGGTGATCATAAAGGAAATACACACTCTAAGGTATTTAACATTCGATTTAGTTCCAACTTCGCTGCCATCTGTGATAGTAGAACCGTGTGGACTAACCAATTCATGTAAGTCGCACTTGCGTCTGAAAGTGAAATTAACATTTGAAGGGATTAAGCTTAAGACCAATCAACGAGAATCACTGATTAATTTCCGATAAAAAGTTATTCATTCTGGAACACAGTCTTACTGAGAAGCAACCGCCGGTATAGAAAATTTACTAATAATACCACCGTAAGTTAAAATGATTGGCATTTGAACGATTCTGTGAGTCGAATGTCGCATAGACGAGAGAAACACTTTGATACTTGCTATCATTGAGGGCGAGCCATATTTAGCAATTTTTAACATATTGCTTCGCTCAATGTTAGCATCGTCGCATACTGCAACATCTAGGACATATAAGTCTCTCCATCTCTCAGGATAATAAGATGTAGTTTGCAAAAGGAACGTTCAGTGGGAATGCAGGGTTCAAGATAAAATCTGGTCTTAAGTTTACGCTGCTTCCCTGGGATTAATTGGCAGATCCCATTGTGCCTTTTACATAGGACATTATGGGTGTCTGAACAGTGGTGGAGAATGTGCTGGATACTTTCATGATGCCCACAGCCACCTCTACAGTTCAGGTTGTCTATGAGACGTCCCCCCTCCACCTTCTCCGAGACCTTATCTTTGTACTCAGTAGATCACCACGCGGTTTAATCGCCTTAATATAGAGACGTGGGAAAATTTACTCTGGATTTTCAACTCAGTCATGTGATTTACAGGATTCAACAGCCTTGTCGAGTCCTTTGCCATCATGCGATGCGTACAACACACGTCGTCAGAGGATGTTATAATTTGGCGGTGGGCTCTAATAGGCAAATTACACAGATGTAGAAAAGGGGAGAAGCATTCTGAATTAGCGATCTCGTGGAGGAGTGGGTCGGGGTTACTCGGCAGGGATTCGACTCGTTAATGGAGAAGGATGGGGATCGTAATGGGAAGATGAATAACTCCCAAACCACCATTCTTAACCTTGATGTACAAATATGCAATGGGAGTATCTTTAGGAAGCCGCAGACATTACCGCATAGCGGCATGAATCATAGCATCCAAGTGTCTAAGGCTTTACTTATTCAACAAAGTTGGCTTGGTCACAATGGGTCAAGTTATCCATATAAGAAGAAAGAAAATAGAAAAGGAGAAAGAATACCATCTTGAGTTGGGAACACCAGGTAGAGTAAGTAAAGGAGGCAGTGGGGGACTTCCGATTTTAAACAATGTGCTGCTTCCTACCAGCAGCAAGCTTGTTGTTTAACAAAACAAGCCTAGATAGAGAGTCGAAGGCAGATGTCGGTTTATTTGATGATTTAGGCACAGGCACAATTGTGATGTCGTTTGGTAATACTTCATTTTCTATCTGAACACACTGCACGGGAACAAATTCTTGTCATTCCTTTTAAGTAATTATTATTATTATTATTGATTCTTCCTCTCTAGGTATACTCAAGTAAGCAGTCTACGGTTGTCGCTTTGTCTGGCTTAACAATGAATATTCATGAAGGTCAAATAACTGTGCTGCTCGGACATAATGGAGCTGGTAAAACTACCACGTTGTCAATACTAACAGGTTAGTGATTTTCACCTTCCTTCCTAATTCTTTCTAACCGACTATCTGATTGATCTTCAGCATGGAGCCGGTGAAGAGGGCCAGCTGTTGTTGTTAAAAGTCTTCAGTAGCCCGTTTGGGAATGCTTTTCTTCGTCAATGACACACCAATTTTCTCAGGCATATGTAAGAATTGAATCAATATTCGTGTTAAAGAGAATCCGAATTTTATTCTTTATGCTGAATAGTGGTTCAGTGCTGAATCGATTTGCAAACTGATTTCAGATGAATCAAGGCCTGTGTTGTCTTTTCTGATTCTGGTTGGCTGGCAGGCTGGCTAGTTTCGACACACGAGTATCCGTTCTTATCTCCCTGCAGTTGAAATGACTCTCTTGAGATAAGTAAGTCGTGGATGTCACCTCTTTCCGAAAATTCTCGTGCTAATAGTGATCGGTACTTGTTGCTGTTGTTATTGTCGGTTGGTTGGTTGGCTATTTGCTATAGATTGATCATGTTTATTACCTCGTCATTGTGGTGAACTGGATTATGCGTCACACAATCAATGGGAAACGAGAGGACAAGGATATCCTGGACCGACGTGAACAACCAAGAAGACCTGGATTTCGCGCGTAGATGATTGATTTATGTTTGATGTCACACAAAATCGAAGACTTAGAAGCAAGCGAAAACCGAATAACTGGTCGAAGAATCAGCCAGCGAAGACATGACAGGACTCCAGGTGAACATAGGTGAAGAAGACGGAAGTGATGAAAATAACCAACCAACCAACCAACCAACAACAACAACAACAGCAGAAGAAACATCCAGCGCCAATCACCATCAACGGGAGGGATTTGAAAGAAGTTACTTCATTCACTTATCATCTAGGGAGGGAGCATTGTCTCAACTACAGGAAGGAAGTCGGAACGGACGAGGATGTCGAATCGAGCGGGAATCGGGAAAGCGGGCGAGAAACACATTCATTCATCAACCTGAAACCAATCTGGAAATCTTCGTCACTCAGCCATCATCAACAACGAAATTCCGTCAGTTGGATTTTCAATACAAACAGCGTCAAGTCAGTCAGCTCTTCTATACGGAAGGAATCAGAAAGTTGGCGGGTGGGTGGGTCACAAAGAATATTTCCAACAGCCTGTTACAGACGTTACCTTTATCAATCAACAACTGTCTTCTCTGGATCTATGCTGAAGATCAGATGGCCGGTGAGCCGGAAACAATCACCAACAAGCACCAAACTATGGGAAGGAACAAACAAGACAAGAACCAAGAACAAAACAAGCCCAACAACAAGAAATATGCAGGAGAAAGTAGATTGAGATGGATTGGACACTCACTGAGGAGGAGGCCGCCGCTGGGTGACATCGCAAGCGCATCAGGCCATCGGTCGAGTGAAACCCGAAAGGGAAGTAGGCGGCGAGTGGGACGTCAGTGCAAGGGTGATATGCAGGAGGAGATTGTGTGAAGAGTTCATGCAGTATGGACTTATATGAATGATGTAGTCGTTGCAACTTATTTTGTAGATGATGTTAGATTTTTCTTCTTTCGCAAAATTTATCAATCAATAAATAGGTAGTGCCACACACAAATGATCAAGCTTCAGTGGTAGCCTAGAGGGTATGAACAAAACAAAAACAACCAATAACGAAGTTCCAGGCCACTCACCAATCAGGAGAGATGACTAATAAATGTAGGATGATGTTACAGGACTGGAATACACTGACTCCCAGTTTAGAAATAGGAAGTGAAGTTGACCGCTTCACTTATTTGGGAAGTACCATCAGCCAGTGCCAACGGGTTGATCTCTGACGAAATCTCAGCTGAGTACGGATACAGAGGACTACTTTCGCATATGCCAGTTTACGCCGTCTCTGGCGTAGACGTGATATCCGGTTATCGACCAATGGTCGAGTGTACTGCTCAACAGCCCTCTCCATCTTCCTTTATGGCTTTAAGCGAGACATGGCCATTGAGGGTGGAAGACATGAAAAGATTAGTTGTCTTTGATCATAGGTGCCTGCGTTTGCTCTATCTCCCGTGTGAATTGGTATAATAAGGTGAACAATATTGAGGTTAGGCGTCTGTCGAGTTCTAGGTAAGGAGGGCAAGTCTATAGACGAGGCTGTGTAATTACATCGACTGAGATGGTTAGGACATGTGTTACGCATGAATGCCTAGTCATCGCCTTCCTCGACAATGGGCAATGTTAGCTCACATAGAATTGGTCAGGCTGGAAAAGAGCTAGCGGAGTTCAAACAAAAACATGGCTTAACCAGTCAATAAAATCTACAACAGTTAGTCTAAGTCTGTCACGTAGGAAGGTGTAGACTTCCTGACTGGTTGGGATCCTCGGGACGGTAAAAACCAATGAAGGCTGGAAACAATTGGTGATATGGCTCAAACTCATCGTTCTCAATGGCTGGCCTGCGCGGAGGCATCCACTTCTTGTGACTTATAATTTCCAATGAAACCATATTGTTCTTCGTTACTTCTATTTCTTTGTCTCACACCTCGGTTAACTGTCTCTATTATGCATTTCTTCTACTTTCTTCTCTTGCTTTGTGTGCAACATGGAGGGAGTGTGGCGACTTGAACTGTCGCACATCAGTGTAAAGTTCTAGTTCGGAAACACAGACAGACATCACCAGGTTCTACAGTTACGTTATTATTATTTTCTTGGGTTGCAATTGGAGCATAGGGCTGGCTTTAACAACACCATATCTCTACTTTCTTCTATTTTCTGCCCCCCTCTTCAGCTGGCTGACCCCACGATTCCTCATAATCGCTTATCTCCTTCATGTCACCCTGGCACTGACCACCCATTCATCCGTCGCTTCCCGAGCAATAGCTTGCATGGAGCACGATGTCATTCGACAGCCTACCTTCGTCAATGTATTCCCGATCAATCCATCTGCATTTTCTCCTACATGCATTTATTTGGTACCCTGTAGATGATGATGGAGAAGGATTGTTTAATGCCGGCTTTGTGGCCGGTTTTGACCAGGTGGTCTAATATCAAATCGTTGATGGGTTTTTACTACACCTTTTTTCAGCCACACTGGTAGATGTTCCTTCTGTAAGACTTCAGCAGAAACAGAAGACTGAACACATGATACTAGTTAGTGTCCGATCAAAGTATCTAATACAGTCAGTCCTACAGGAGGTCAATCAAGAGCCCGAATAGCTCAGTGGGGAAGTTCCTGACAGAAACACTGGGTGACACGGCTTCGAATCTCAGGCGCGACATGAACTCCTTAGGGATTGCAGATATGTTTTGGTGACTGGTAGGTGGCCAATAAGCACAAATACTAGGGTCTCCAGTTTAGACAAAGGGACGAAATTCGTTCTGTGCGGCTTCGTAGATTACGCATCTGCTTTCGACTCATGGTAGTTTGTTATATAAGCTTGCTGAAACTGAAGCTGACTGATAAGTTGTCAAATGGCTGTATTCTTATTTCTCCCGAGGAAGAATGCAGCGCACTGTATGTCAGTCAGGGCAAGTCATACACTTCATTGCTCACTGAGGCTGGCCTCCGTCAAGGTGCTGTCCTTTCTCCTTTTCTGTTTTCTTTCTTATTACATGACATGCCTCACTCTGATGATGAAATGAACTTTGTTAAGCATGCGGAAGACCTAAATATTTCACTGCCTTTTAACTCCCTCTTATACTGTACTGAGATGAACAGCTTTCTATCAGGAGTCAGAGAATGATCTTCGTCTACTGGTCTTAAATTAAATTTTTCCAAAAGTCAGACTGTTAATTTCAGTTTTCGATGTAAAAGAAGGTACAGTGAAGCTGTTAATCATTCCTATGACCGTTGTAAAATTGATGACAGTGGTGTAGAAATCCAGTCTGACGTTAAGTATCTTGGATTAATTCTTTCTTCTGACCTATCCTGTTCTACCCATATCTTAGCGATTTCAAAAAGATAATTCCCTTGCTGAGTTTTTACATTAAGAAATTAAGACACTCGTGCATGACTCAACCCCTCCTCTTACAGATTGTCAACTCGCGTATTTTACCTATTCTTCTTTACTGTTCACCCATGCTTATTCTCTCCTGGATTGATTAAAAAAGACTATGTCATACATCGTAGAACTCTGAAGACTGCCAGTCAGATAGTAGGACGAGTGGTATCCCATTGGGCCATATCGTTGACATCGTCATTCACGATAGGCACTTGATTTCATGCAACAAATTCGCTAGACGGATTTTGTCAGACTGTGAGCATCCACTTTACCCACAGTTCCAACCTTGTGTCTCCTCCTCACGTAAAACAAGAAGTCTTTTCAGAAGACTTTATGTGCACGTACATCTAAGTATAAAATTCCACTATACCAAATTTGGCACGTATTTTATGTCATGAAAATAGCGTCGGGGACGAACTAACTAACTAACCTTCTTTGCTCTAGTAAATCAACGATTTTCTCAATCCTTACACCGTCAGTCAGTCAAGCTTTACTGTTATTATTCTTCTTATACTTATAATCCTCTCAGTTTTCGTTTTTTTAAAATTTTCTTACAAGTGTAAACATCATTTAAGCTGTGCAATAATTATTTTTTGCCTTTTCCCTCACTAAACTATATCAACAGCCCAGTGGCTCAATGGTCTACGAGCTCGCTGGCCTTGTAACCAGAAGGTCCTGGGTTCGAATCCCGGTGGGTGCGTACTGCTAAAGAGTCCCAAACTAGGACGGAGGAAACAGCTGTCCACTATTCCCAGGTTTTCCATTGGTTCTCTAACTAATGTCAGCTCATGATTAAATCCTCCATGCAATCAATCTATAACATGCTAAAATTTCCAAACTGTATGGACAATACTGTTTCAAACAAACTCACTCTTATTACCATTATTATTACTATTCTCATTTTATACTGTTAATATTTTTCGTGGTTTTAAGCAGAATTTTGGACCTAGAAATAGTGCCACTAGTTTGAATATTTTTGACTTTATATTGTAAATGTGGTCAAATTCCTGTAGTTAATGATATTCATATTTTGAGTAAATTAAATGCAATATTGTGACGAATGCTGAGAATTCCACTCTATGTAATAACTACTGCTGTTTTTGCAATAAAGTAGATTATTATTACTATATATAATGTTTTATATCTTTTTTACGTTTCTGTCTTTATTTAAGGCATGCTTCCGCCTACATCTGGTACAGCTTATGTCTGTGGTCAGAATATTCTTCAAGATATTCAAAGTGTTCGTGAAAAAATTGGTTTTTGTTCACAACACGACGTTTTATATGACACATTAACTGTTGAAGAACACCTGTACTTATCTGCTCGTGTAAGAATTCTCTTCTTGTTTTTTTTCTGTTTTTTTTGCGTTATTTGAGGAGAATCTTTTTTCTTATAAAGGCGCACAGTTTTGAAAACTATTCAGTACAGAGTAATGAGTAGATGTCTTTTTTATCGATTTATATGGTGTTCCGTTTTTGTAGATGCATATATATGCACTATTTCTGTGCTTGCTAATAATAATTCCCGACAAAAAGCTTACCAAAACTCCGGTGAAGTGAAGGCAGTTAGAGTTAGGCAAGGTTGTTTAGCACACCACTACGGATGATTTTGTTGATTACTGTGGACTAGATGCATGCGTCAGGATGTGCATCGTGGGGTTAGTCAGAAGAAGACGCGGAAAAATTTCCACTGACAAAAAATATTCTATAAGATACCAGTTTTGTGAATGGTTTATATCTCATGTTGTACAAACTCGAAGGTTTACAGACGAAAAGAGGGGGTTGGGGACTTCTGGTGAAAATAGCGAAGGCATAAATCATAAAGATACCCACCCAGCAACAATTATTATTCTTGTATTATTGTTCCCTTGGGTTCCTAGTGGAACATAGGGCTTCAACTGCACGTCTCCACTTGCTCCTGTTGTACGTTTCACCTGCATCCATACTCTTTCAACTCCTCTTCACACAATCTCCTCCTCCATATCACCCTTGCACTGACGTCCCACTCGCCGCCTACTTCCCTTTCGGGTTTCACTGGACCGATGGCCTGATGCGCTTGCTATGTCACCCAGCGGCGGCCTCCTCCTCAGTGAGTGTCCAATCCATCTCAATCTACTTTCTCCTGCATATTTCTTGTTGTTGGGCTTGTTTTGTTCTCGGTTCCTGTCTTGTTTGTTCCTTCCCATAGTTTGGTGCTTGTTGGTGATTGTTTCCGGCTCACCGGCCATCTGATCTTCAGCATAGATCCAGAGAAGACAGTTGTTGATTGATAAAGGTAACGTCTGTAACAGGCTGTTGGAAATATTCTTTGTGACCCACCCACCCGCCAACTTTCTGATTCCTTCCGTATAGAAGAGCTGACTGACTTGACGCTGTTTGTATTGAAAATCCAACCGACGGAATTTCGTTGTTGATACTGGCTGAGTGACGAAGATTTCCAGATTGGTTTCAGGTTGATGAATGAATGTGTTTCTCTCCCGCTTTCCCGATTCCCGCTCGATTCGACATCCTCGTCCGTTCCGACTTCCTTCCTGTAGTTGAGACAATGCTCCCTCCCTAGATGATAAGTGAATGAAGTAACTTCTTTCAAATCCCTCTCATTGATGGTGATTGGCGCTGGATGTTTCTTCTGCTGTTGTTGTTGTTGTTGGTTGGTTGGTTGGTTATTTTCATCACTTCCGTCTTCTTCACCTATGTTCACCTGGAGTCCTGTCCTGTCTTCGCTGGCTGATTCTTTGACCAGTTAGTCGGTTTTCGCTTACTTCTAAGTCATCGATTTTGTGTGACATCAAACATAAATCAATCATCTACGCGCGAAATTCAGGTCTTCTAGGTTGTTCACATCGGTCCATGGTTATCCTTGTCCTCTCGTTTCCCACTAACTGTCTGACGCATAATCCTCTCCACCACATATAAGAATATCATTGGTGTTAACAAGCACCTTTGTCTGACTCCTGTGTTTACTCCAAACGCCTCTCTGAGTTTTCCGTTGTGGATCACTTGTTTTACCCAACAGCAATGACAAACACTAATCACCATCAATGAAAGGAATTTAGAGGAAGTTGTCTCTTTTTCTATATACGCATATTTAAACGGCAATAATTCAACTTCTGATTGACTGTGCAAGGATAAGGATAATTGAACTAGTCAGGATCGGACTGGGAGAGCAAGATGGATGTTCATTATTATGCGATCACTGAATAGATCTACTGCTCACAAGGAATAAGAGTTGAATTTTCAACACTAATATCAAGTCAGAGTGCTGCTATCATGCTCCAGAGACTTGGCGTATACATCACGATGAGGATTTCTGTATACAGGCTGAAGAGTTTCATCAGCGCAAGAAATTGATAAACAGCAAGGAGATCATTTTGATACTCCCCAATAAACTTGGGAGAATAGTAGTCATGGTTCCTGAAGAATACATGAGTAAAATGCTGACCCTCCCTGTATCGGACGACTCTAAATACACAAAACCGGCCATTGAAAAGAACATAACGGAGCAAACTGAACAAAAACCGACAAATATTCTCCGAAAACTGAAAACTCAATCATTCATCGACGCTGAAATCCCATCTGGCTCAAATACATCCCCTTCCTCCCGACGTTATTGGATTACCACCTAAAGTGCACAAGAAAGACGCAGACCTCTTCGGTCCATTCTCGATATGACTAATTCACCTCATCATCCTACCGCGTAAAAGCTATAGTAGACAGACTGGAATCAGTATATTTTTTGACGTTCATTTTTAAACAGAGATTTGACGACCTGATCTGATCAGTCTTATTATGAACACAGTGGCTGGCATTGTTCCGTCTAATTGTATCCCTGTGATTTAATCTTTGATTATCATACGGAGAAAAAGACGGAAAAGAATTTGGAAGTGAAAGTGCAAATAATATTGAGTAATGGAGAAGATTTGTTGCTCGGGTGGATGATCTCAATGTAGTTGGGTTCCCTGAGCTAGCCAGCTGTATGGAGGGTTTATTTGCGAAGGTTTCATTATTTCCCTACTAATAGACAACGTCTTTACCACATACATTACTTCAATTTGAATTGGAATGAGCTTTCAGATTTCTCCACGAGTTTATTAGTCCGTCTGTTTTTGACATAGAGCTTTGTACCTATGTGCGACAGTTCAAGTCGCCACACTCCCTCCATGTTGCACACAAAACAAGAGAAGAAAGTAGAAGAAATGCATAATAGAGACAGTTAACCGAGGTGTGAGACAAAGAAATAGAAGTAACGAAGAACAATATGGTTTCATTGGAAATTATAAGTCACAAGAAGTGGATGCATTCACGCAGGCCAGCCATTGAGAACGATGAGTTTGAGCCATGTCACCAATTGTTTCCAGCCTTCATTGGTTTTTACCGTCCCGAGGATCCCAACCAGTCAGGAAGTCTACACCTTCCTACGTGACAGACTTAGACTAACTGTTGTAGATTTTATTGACTGGTCAAGCCATGTTTTTGTTTGAACTCCGCTAGCTCTTTTCCAGCCTGACCAATTCTATGTGAGCTAACATTGCCCATTGTCGAGGAAGGCGATGACTAGGCATTCATGCGTAACACATGTCCTAACCATCTCAGTCGATGTAACTTCACAGTCTCATCGATTGACTTCCCCTCCTTACCTAGAACTCGGCAGATGCGTGACCTCAATATTGTTCACCTTATTATACCAATTCACACGGGAGATAGAGCAAACGCAGGCACCTATGATCAAAGACAACTAATCTTTTCATGTCTTCCACCCTCAATGGCCATGTCTCGCTTACAGCCATAAAGGAAGACGGAGAGGGCTGTTGAGCAGTACACTCGACCATTGGTCGATAACCGGATATCATGTATACGCCAGAGACGGCGTAAACTGGCATATGCGAAAGTAGTCCTCTGTATCCGTACTCAGCTGAGATTTCGTCAGAGATCAACCCGTTGGCACTGGCTGATGGTACTTCCCAAATAAGTGAAGTGGTCAACTTCACTTCCTATTTCTAAACTAGGAGTCAGTGTATTCCAGTCCTGTAACATCATCCTACATTTATTAGTCATCTCTCCTGATTGGTGAGTGGCCTTGAACTTCGTTATTGGTTGTTTTTGTTTTGTTCATACCTTCTAGGCTGCCACTGAAGTTTGATCATTTGTGTGTGGCACTACCTACTTATTGATTGATAAATTTTGCGAAAGAAGAAAAATCTAACATCATCTACAAAATAAGTTGCAACGACTACAGAAAAAACTACATTTGCCAAAGTGAACGTTCCTCCTTTCGTGTTCGTATTCACGATCATAAACTAACCGTCAAAAGATATGACATCGACTCCTTAACATCTTTTCATATAGACAACAACGGACATCATTTCGACTGCAACAACGAACGTACAAATATTAGACAGAAGAAACACCAAGAATGACAGATAATTTTTTGAAGGCTGCCTTGTATTCCAGTGAATAGTCAATCAATAGACACGTCGACGTTAACAAAATTTCAGTGTCGTTTTTGTAGGTAGTTTTGCGTGATTGGTTGATGGATTTCATCATAAGCATTGACATCAATTGGTTAGAGAACCACCTGGGAGTACTGGATAACTGTTTCGTCCTAGCTTGGGACTCTTCGTCGGTACGCACACGCCCAACTGCAGTGTGAACCCAGGAGCTTCTGATTACAAGGCAAGCCTGGTCATAGACCACTAAGCTAATCACTGGGACCCGGTCCAATGGCCAACCAACAGCCCATGAATTCTAACTACTACCACATAGCGCAACCGCTTCACAGTGTTACCTTCAACTTGTCCAGTATTCCCAGGTGGTTTTCTAATAGTTCTCTAACCAATTGATATCAGCTCATGATGAAATCCTCAAACCAATTGATTTTTTTAATTTCCTTCACGTTCCCAGTGGAACATAGGGTTTGAAGTTTCTGTAGCAGTGTTTATTTTTACAGGATGGGTTTGCTAGCCTCATGCCCAACCTTTCCTCTTTACCAGCATTATTTATGGCTTAGCGAGGTAAAGGAGTGCGTCTGTGGCTGGGATCGAACCCCGGACCATGTACATAGTCGGCGAGTGTCCTAACCGCTGTGCCACCGACGCACGAAGCCGATTGATAAAATTTACCAATCATTAAGAATGAAGTCTCACACAAAAAGGATCAGCTTTGACTGGTAGCCTAGAGGGTATGAAATCAGACAAAAACAACCAATCACAATGTTTAAGGCCACCTACCAATCAGGAGAGATGACTAATAAACTCGTGGAGAAATCCGAAAGCTAGCTGACTTCAAATTAAATTGAAGTGAAGTGTGTGCTGAAGATGTTGTCTAGTGG